GCAAGTATCACAGCAAATAGGTTAGCTTTCCTCGAATCAGTATATTGAAATGCAATGGCTCGATATGGACAGACAATAGGCCAGATACAAGGTTTGAATGACAGTGAGTTCGTTGTGTTATCATGTGCATATGTGTAAATAGCTATAGAAGGAGATTTCTTTCTGCCCAACTAATTTGCAATTCTCTATATCCATCTAATTCATTAAGTTAGGGGTACAAGAATTTGCATAGATAGTGTGTTTATAAAATGCATTCACATCTCAGCCTATTTTGCGCGTTTCAATTGCAGATAGTTGCTGTTTACGGAGGATTTCAACGAATGTCATGCATCTGTTATTAACAGGCACCAGGTTGCAGATAGATGGCGCCAAGCACAAGTTATCAATATAGACTGTGCAGTAATGTCTATCGGGATATATGTTATGCAGTTTTGCATTAAATGACAGTGCTTACATTATTAGGCTTTTGGAAAATATGTTACTTTAATTCATCATTTCTCATTGACTATGCTTTTATTATACGGCTTTTTTACAGGCTATATTTCAAATCAGAGATAGAGAAATTACAGACAATGGGGAAGAGCATTTAGTGTAACAGGTAAATTCGTATTAGGCTTTGTCTTTATCTCAGAGCAACTTTCTACATGTGATGTTTGTGATTATGCGTGGTGCAGAGTTATTCACTAAGAAATAATGTTGTTTGAGTGATACTAGCGGTTGTAGGTGGCACTCTATTGGTTGCAGCTCTGGTGTAATGTTAGTATCAGGCAGTAGTGATATGGAGGAGTGTTGCTCAATAAAAACAAAAAAAAAGCGGCAATTTCGTCATTTACTAGCCTTATAATCCTACGATTTACTACGCAGTAAACTATGCAACTTGAGCGTCATCGGAACGTCATTCGACCTTCATCGCTGCGAAATTGTTTCCTCGTAAGACACGCAATCCGAGGAGATCAGCCTAAAACGTCGACACGCATTCTTCCATTTCTTTGGCATCAGTCCAACGCCATTGCGCGCCTATAATTTAAAAAAGGCAGCCTACCTAACGCCGGGCTTGCTAACTCAGCCGAGCAATGTGGATCGCTGGGAGATTAGGTCATCAAACTCGGCGAGTAACTTTGGAACGCCGTACCAGCTACACAGGACCACCTCTGTACATAGTTGCAAGCCTTCACGCACGCACGCAACGCATGATTAGCTGATCGAGTGGTTGCGTCGATGTCCAATTCTCCCCACGGCCACACGCCACATTCCGCATTCGCAGAGAGCAAACACGCGGACTGCGCGCGGCAGTGTTGATGCTTTTGTCTGATTATAGGCGCGCAATGTGCGTTGGATTTGATGGCAAGAATGGGAGAATCGTGTCTCGTACGATTTAGGCTGTATTTCGGGATTGACGGCGGTGTCTTACGAGGAAACGATTTCTGCACGATGATAGGCGAGTGTACTGTGGTCTCTCGATTTTGAGGCTCAGTTGGCGAGATGAGTTACGCCCGTAGTAAATCGTAGGTAATATTAAGGTGAGGAATGACGAAATTCCCTTGTTTATTGATGTACATCCTCCCTATTATCTACTCCTGGTAATATATATGTTCATGGAATATTTTTTACTGATGTATTATGAAATTCTTTGTTTCTGTTTAAGGGTCTATTGCCAATCCGAATCAAAGAAAACTTTAGCTGGCAGACACCTATGCAAGCCTTTATCTAGATGGATACAGAATTCGTGATGCCTAAAGTTCAAGCCCAACCAGAAGATCTGCTTTTGGTATCTGCTGGAGCTTCAGATAAAATCGTATGTAATCATCACTACTAGACACCATATTTGATCATTTGTCATTGGATCTGTTTATTCCAACACTTGTATATATTTTAGCTCACCTGACATCGTCAGCTGAGCTATGCATGGGTCGGTCGTCGTCGTCCGTCTTTGCGTCGTCCGTCGTCCGTCCGTCCGTCAACATTTCGCTATCGGTCACGTTATAATCAGGAAAATGTTTTACCCAGCATGTTTTGAAATTGGCGTATGTTGTTACTGCTATTGTCTCATATGGAACGTCCTATTTTGAGAGCCACGCCAGTTGACGTCTTTCGAGCCTGGCAATTTTTTGGCCAAAAATGCGGAATTGCCATTAAATCAGTTCAGCGTTCAACGGATTTTGCTCATTTTTGGTATGTGAATGAATAAGGGCTAGGGTTTTGATATTTAAAAAAAATTATGCCAAATTAGGATAGGTTTATGCAATTTATGCAAAAACGCAGATAATCAACAGTCTGTGGGTGTCACCTCGTGGGGTTTGTTTTACCAGATTTCATTGACAATATCTTTAGCACTACGTGGCGTTTGAGCGCTTCGCGCGGATATCCGCTGCAGATCGTCCAGGCATGTATAGATTCTAGTAGCAAACCCGGCAGTCAAATTCTTTCTAACAGACAGTAAACAAATCCATGTTTAACCCTCCTCTTGAGGGTCAAAAGGTTATCCGACACTTACTCTTCGCATGTCAGCAGAAGGTACATTTCATGGTCCTTTCAATAAAGCCATAAAAATGCTAGGTCAACGCTGAAACAAAAAAGTTTTTCAATTGCTCCGTCAGACCATGTCCTCAGAAAATGTCTAAAATCTGCCCTGTGCCCATTGACCTGTGACCTCGAATTTCGGCACAGTGATGGCTTTTCCTACCATGATGCTATACACCGACTATCACAAGCCTAGGTCGAGCCGTTTAGATTTGTGCCGCAATTCTGCATTTCCTCCCTATACCTTAAGTTAAGGAGTGAATGTTCCCCCTTCTTTTACACCTCTTGACCTTTGACCTTTGACCCCCAGCTTCGACATCCCAACTCGTTTTCGGATTACCCCGTCACGTCCCGAATATCGTGACCGTACATCGAGCGGTTAAGATTTGTGCCCAACTGTTGACAGACGCACGCACGGACGCACGCTCATGCGATTCTACAAACTGCATCTGACTATGTCAGATGAGCTAAAAATAAGGCGGAATATAAGGATGTAAATTTCAAACTAGGGAAGCTAAGTCTAGAAACCGTTAACGAATACACATACCTAGGTATTAAAATAAACAATAACATAGAAAACTGTGTCGAACTACATGAGGGTGAAGTGCGAGTAAAGGCAAGGAAATACCGCACGAATCCATAGCTGCCAGCGAACAGTTTGCAATTTTAGTGAGGGACACAGAAGGCAGACATTTGGGACGTGAACAGTGTTCACTTGTTATAAAAACTGTAACCGAGTAATCTGTTTGTAACCAAGCTGTGTCACGCGAAATCACAGCCTTTCTCTCAGATGCTGGTCTTTTACACCGCATACAAGTTTATCTCGCACTAAGACTAAGAGTAAGGAGTCGGCTAGAATCTAGATGCCCAAAGTTGCACGTTTGAGATAGCGTCTTCACATCGGTGATAAATTTCTCAAGTGTTTCGACACCTTGTAAACGCTGTATAGTCTCGTTTTTCTTTGGTTGACAGTATGTATCAAATTGTCGGAGAACAATTTCTATCGTTCTGTCTTCTACTTCAATCTGACTTCTACTTCAATTACTGTAATCAATCTTAATACTAAATATAAATACCTTGTACATTATATACATGACTAGTGTAAGCGGGAATGCTATTGCAGAAGTTACATCGGTGTTTTTTCACATATGTGTTTACATATCCCTTAGTATATTGGTTCAATACAAAATTCTGCAGGAATCTCATTTTACGCAAGGGGGCAGCCATCTTTAGTAGCGATACCCTATATGCAAGCGCTTCCCCGTCCCTCCCCGCTTGATTATGGCTCAGGCGAACATTTTGACTGGACTCTGGGTTACAGGGTAGAGACGGTAGTACTACATACATACATACATACGAACTCAAATATATATTAGATGACTAACTCTGTTACTAGTAGTAGTACTAGTAGTATCTTTGATGATAATGATTTTTTTCTGATGTAAATGTAACTAAAAGACTATGCAAAAATACATGCTGATATATCTTGAAATATAAAGCACTTGTCTTAAATGAAAAAATCTGCTTTAACAATACACCAAACATTTATTAGAGACGTGTATACACGTCGGCACTATTTTATTTGCATCTATTCATCCGCTACATATGACACAATGTGTTGTAGAAGCAGAGGTTGAAGTACTAAGGAATTTTGCTTCATAACAAGTTAGTAATAGTTACATTTACTGAACAAATATTGCATAGTTTATTTAACCATATAATTTAAACTTTTACATAGATATGTTGTAATTGTTTCACCAGACACTTGTTAAAATTTGCCGAAAACAAATTGAATGCAAAGATTTGCCTTCACTCTTCAGCTTTGCCCAGCTGACACTGACTGTACCACCGACTCACTCTGTCACTCAGTCACACACTGACACAGCCTGTGTAGGCCTGTATAATAATAATGTATTTAAGTAGTAACTGTTGTAATATGTTGTAGTTACTTACTGTATGTGAGATTAGAGGTATACGGCGTTTTTCTCTTTCACTTTTCCCCCACACTAAAACGAAAGAAAAATATCAATTCAGCTGTCAGACACTGAGACAGCAGTCTCCGCTCGCTCTGTGCTAACAGTAACAGTAACAGTAACAACATAATAATCCCCTATCCAAAAAGTCCTGACAACAGGTTTTCATGACCCAGAATAAAAGGTGGTGGCTCTTCTGCCCCGTCTAATTTTCGACCGATATCTCTGACATCTCTTTAATATAATCTGTTTCTTTGTACACAGTGACTGACTTATGTGACATCTCATCACCAAATAGCTTCCGACGCTGTTTCACCAGTGTTACTTTGTTAATAAATGTCCCTTGTGATCGAACTCGGAATCTCAACAAGGATCAATGATCTACGATCAATGATCTACGATCAAAGATCTACTTCTATCTGCATGCCTTTTTGCGAATGATGGGATACTTTACTGTACGTACCATATGTACTGAGAATGGCTAAGTAGCTCTGGAGTCTGGACAGTATCCTTACTTGTGTTGAAAAATTGGCGTTAACTTGATGTTTATCCTTGAATCCAGACTAATGCAAAACTACACATTACCCGGTCTTAATCACCCTTTACCCTTTACATACTCACTTTATTTTCAGTACCTATCTTGTAATCCAATGTACAAATGTAGGTATTACCATTAGCAGCAACCTTTTCTGTAACACCTAGATTGATTACATTTGTGAAAAAGCCCAATCACTCCTTGGGCATGTTAGGTTATGTTATGTTCTCGTACTTGTCGGTGTCCACTACACTGGATATAATGACAAGGTAGTAAGTGCCTTCAGGGATAAACCCAATAAACAAACAGGTGCATAATGATGATGTGAGTGCAATGCAACTGGTGTTCTCTTAAAGTGGGTTTGCGTGCATGTGGGAGTGAAGCTTTTACTTAAAAATGTCAACGTCTGTTGCTTCCACAACACCCACGGCTAGGTTGGTCCAGATTGGAATCGGCCGGGGAAAAAAAGAGAATTTGAATGCGTTGTTGTTGCAGTGCAGGTGCCGAAATTTGTGGGGATTTTTTGATCTGGTACCTGACATCCCCGGGATCAGATATCTATTCGCCGTTATTGCTATGAGGTGGTTTACAACCTTATACATTACTACACTCGAGTTAAAGCGTCTACGATACATAAGTTGTTGCCACCCGAGTTGGTCCTTAAGAGCTGACAGACTGCTATATCGATCGTTTGTAACAAATCTTGCAAATCTGTTTTGTATAATTTCTAGCTTATATTTATATTTCTCTTTGTGTGGGGTCCCACACTGATGAGGCATTGTATGTCTTTCCTTATCTTGGTAGAATTTTATTTTAACGAAATCCATAAAGTATATAATCTGTCACATTTTGCAGTTTATACTTTCTACAGCGCTGTGTGTACGATGTTGTAACACCAGGGTGCGAAATTAACGGGAGTCCGGAGTTAAATAGTTCCTGATTTGACATATGCAGGAGTTCGTGTGACTCCCTGAAAATTTCTGCCATACTAACTAGCCTCGCGGAATTACCATATTTTTTCAGCTAATGTCCAAAGAAAATTTGGCAGACGTGCAACCGCATGAATCTTAAAAATAACCACATGTATGCGTTATTGTTAATATCTTTAATTTTGAAACCCAGACTGCGGACTCCCTCATTTTGCTGCGGACTCCCGTGTTCAAAAGTTAATTTCTACCCCTGTAACACTATCTTTTTTAATTTCCTGTAGGTTTGATGAAACTTAATCTGATAGACCGTTAAATTTGAAGATGTTGAGTGCGTTGCGAAAGCTAGTTAGCAGTGATGGACAACAGCAGGTCAAGCTTGGTCCAGGTCCACCATCCGGCATGCAGACCATGGGCCAGCAGTTACAGCGGCGCTTTGCCAAAGGCGTGCAGTACAACAGTATGTGTAATATATACTTAACATGGCTACGATAGACCTTTTCACTAGGCTTCTTAAAACCATTTAACATTTTAGGTAAAGGCACATGGTTTTAAAACCCTATAGTATTTTTGTCCGGTGTCACGCCACGGTCTGAGATTACCCCCAGTCTGAAATTACCCTAGCGCTACTGCGCATGCGCCACGCATGCGCACGAGGTGCTGGGTGTAAAGCGCAGTAGCAAAAATTAGCATTGGTTAACTGAGACTGCCACCGTCACAGCAGTCAGCGTCTTAACGCCATTTGTTTTAGCAAAGTTGTATTAGCCATTTGTCAAAAATACGGACAGAAGCAGTTTATTATTGCTCTCTCCAACACGGAAGTGACTATGTACGCACGGCGGCCGTGTGGGCCAGATTCAATATGGCTATACGCACGGCGGCCGTGTGGATAAGATTCAATATGGCTATATGCACGGCGGCCGTATGACCGACTCAATATGGCTAGGAATGAGGAAGGGGAGAAGGGAGAAGCTGGTGGAGAAGGAGGAAGGGGAGAAGGTGGTTGAGAAGGAGGAAGGGGAGAAGGAAGAAGGTGGTGGAGGAGGAAGGGAGAAG